ATGATTAGAGAATTCCATTTTTCCGGATGGAAAACGTTTTGTTTTTGGGTGAGTGCGAATCCAACGGAAATGGGACCCAATGGTAACAGCTGCCATGGTCCCCACCCATCAAAATCGGAAATGTGGACCCTATATGCCACAACCACCCATCATCCTTAATCAACTTCTTGGATGTGGTTTATTTATGCAGCATATTCTTTTCATTATATTTCTATTTTTCTTCATCTTTTCTTTTCATTGCATGTATTTCTTTCGATTTTTCTTTCTTTTTCTTTTTCATACAAGGACAAATATTGATATGTTTGCTCTAACAACACTCAATATTTTAAAAAATTGAGTTACTAAATAAATAGATATGTCAATATATATACATATCGATGTACTGACCATTATATTAATAGACTATATCATTAAATTTTTTTATTAATATGTTTTATATAATTCTGAAAATTTAAGTATTATTGTTTTATAAATATAAAAGTATTTTTACATTAGATGCTATCATTTTGAAGTCATATAAAAAATTGGTATAATTTTTTTTAGAAAAATATATACTAATTTAGGTGTAAACAATTTATTTAAAAATCCAAAGAAAAAAAGAAAAAGACATATTTAACTTGATATTTTAAGTTTAACGTACTTGTCATCGATATTTTAATTCAATTAGTTCGTTTATAAAATTATTTTAAGTTTTGATTTGGATATAATTACTTTAGAGAGTCTAATCAAATATATTTGAGTGTAAAAAAATAGATTTTTCATCGAATATGTTTATACATACACCAATTACGTTTAATAATGAGTTCTGCATTCAAAACGTCTTTTCAAGTGTAATTTGATATTCTTACTTTCTATTTAAACATATTTTTACAAAAATACATAGATTTATGTACAAAAATATTCTCCAAACACTTTTATGTATTTATTTTTTACTAGTGCGGGCCAAAGATCAAGCCATATCAAAATGTATGTCCACCACCATATCAAAATGGAGTAGCACTAAATGTGATTTTCAGTAACTAGTCCCCAGAAGACAAAATCAGAAAGTGTATCCGCCACCATATCAAAAGGTCTTAAAACGCCACTTTACTTAATTAAGTTAATTATAGTGGGGAAAGGAAGCCGGAAGGATTATCCAGCAAAAAAAAAAAAAAAAAAATCCACAAATGAACAGGTATACACACCTCCATAAACCAGGAATCCAGCACTAACTGAAAACACTCGCTAAAACATGGAACAAAAATTCATAAGCAACAATCACAATCAACAAAACACATTATCCGAGTAATTACTCTATATACAGCGAACATCAAACTCCTGACGTATGCTAAGCCTTCATCCTAACCCAACATTCAACGAGCAGATTTGTCCTTGACCACATGTTTACTCCAGTAACAACACTAAGGGCATACCTTCTACTAATCCCCATTGTAAATTTGTTAATCAAAACCATCTCTATTAAAGGACTACCTCACCTAAAAGCTTAAGCTAATAGGTGAGGTCTTAAAATATAATTTATACCACTCTCTAACACATCCTCTTAAATGAAAGACCCAACATTTGAGGCATAAAATCTGCATAAGTTCACATTGTCTTGTGCTTAATATTTGACAAATTGAGGATGGTGAGACTTGAACTCATGACCTCAAGGTCAACCAAGCTCGATACTTATATTAAAGTGACCATCTCACCTAAAAGCTTAAGCTAATAGGTGAGGTCACTAGAATATAATTTATATCACTCTCTAACAATCTCCGCCAATAAATGTTCATTTACAAATGCAACCCTCTCTATTTATCCCAGAAATGAATAATCTTAAAATAGGCACCATTTGCCCCAAAAAAAAGTATGTCTATATTGTTAGTATAACGTAAGGATCGCTAAAATCGCTAAAATACAAACAAATATCGCTAAAATACATATTGATAATTCCTGTTTTTGTTTTCTTTAATCCTTGTGAATTCCAGTTGGCAGTAATGATCAAAAAAACACAAACAAATATCGACTCATGTAAAAGAAGACCCACGTGACACGGTCTCTTCCCATTGGTCGATGTGACTGTCTCTTGACATGTCAAAATTTTATTGGTTGTTTACGCAAGTCATTGTACGATGATACAGACATGCTAACGCTTGCTTTCCATATTTTAAAAATTGCTTTTTTTAAAAAAAAAAAATTAATTTTAAGTGCTTTTGCTCCCCAATATTCTGATCACTTAAAATTTCGTACCTTTCTTTCCTTATCTACCTTCTTTCCTTTTTTCTTAATTTTACCAATTCAGGATATACAAGTTTCTTAATCAACTTCTTATTTTAGATTTTTTTTTTTTTTACTAAATTGGACATGCCTTTTCCTTTCTTTTTTGAGAGCATTGAAGATAGATGAAGATGAGCACTGTAGAAAAAAATAATTAGAGAATTTGTGGCCATAGAATAAAGGGATCTATCTATATATCCAACAGTCTCATCAACCCACCAATCTAAATATCCTGTGTTTTTTTTTTTTTTTGCTATGTGCATCTAACTACTCTAGGGTTTTTCCTTCTTTGATCGTTTCCCTTTGTACCATTTTTGAGAACACATATCCTCTGTGTCTCTTAGTTTTTCTTTTTTTCTACATAAAAAAACTGGACTCCCTTTCATGATTTTTTCTTTTGAACCATAGAATTTCAGTCTAAATTTTGGTTTGCTTTTTAGTCTTGTTAATCATCCTAGCTTTCCATGTGTGAATATTTCAAGTTTTTTTTGGTTGTTGTGAAATATTAGCATATATAGTTAAAATTTTCTTGAGCTCAAACAAAAGATTTCTGGGGCTGTGCTCTATATTTGGTGAGAATAAAAGTATAGATTGACTTTTTTTCCCTTTCCCACAACTCTAGGTTTTCATTGAGAATTATTTATAACTTGGTTTAAAATTTCTATGAACTAGGAGGACATGGTGAGAGGAAAAGTTCAAATGAGAAGAATAGAGAATGCAGCCTGCAGGCAAGTGACTTTTTCCAAGAGAAGAAGTGGGTTGCTGAAGAAAGCTCACGAGCTATCAATTCTATGCGATGCAGAAGTTGCAGTCATCATATTTTCACAGAAAGGAAGACTCTCTGAGTTTGCAAGCACTGATCAGTAGGTTTCTTTTTCCTTTTCTTTCCTCGAGTTCTTTGACTTGTTTTTGATGATGCATATATAGTACTTAAGATTATTGGAATTAAAATATGTTTTTTTTTTTTTTTCCTGAAAAGCATAGCTGCTAATTGTTAAGAAAAATGTATGTACGATGTTATAGGGTCCTCCTAGATATATTGAGGGAAGCGATGAGATATCATTTCAATTGTACTTGTACATATAAATTTTACTTAAAATCCTTTCAGATTTGCGCATTAACGGTGATGCTTTAAATCAGATAGCCGAGGCAGTAAAAATTGTATCAATTCTATGCTTTAAATCTCAATATTGTTTCAATTACACCTAGTCTCTTTAGCTCTATACTTCCCGTCTGAGCTTTGTCATCTAGGGTTGAAATTAATGCTCTCTTGAGAAATAGAATGGCCATCTGCTTGCTTTGTGAAAAAGATGGGATCTAGCTATTGTACTTCTGGTTTTCATCTAAACTGCTACTCAGTCATTTGCCATTTCGTATGAAGGTTTCATTCCTTTTCTTCTTCTTCTTCCTTGGTCAGTAGTATTTTCTTTTGTTTTTTTCATTGTTGTTTGAGTTTTAAATGAGAACCAGAATGGAGGGTGTGGAACACTGAATTTATTTTACAATTACAGCTTTAACTTTAAGACAAATTTTAATATATATATTCCTTTTTTTTTTTTTTTTTTTGTACAAGTGTGCTTCTAGAAAATGTAAGAATCCATGTGTTGTTACAAATGCAAGAATGAACGTTTAACCACAAGCTGCCCATTTAATTTTTGTTTAGAAAAATGTTTGAATTCCATATTTTATTTTGAGTAATGCTAATCTTACAGAATATTTGTTTTCTAAATCACTTTCTGAAAAGTCTCATGCATTTAATTTTTTTGCAAATAGTCTTTTGATGATGTCAACATTAATTATGAAAACCATGAGAAAGCATAAATTCTGTTTGAGTTATTTCTCGACAAAATCCGCTTGATCACCTAAGCTATATATGTTCTAATGTTAGAGGAGTTTTGAGAGGTGTTAATTTGGGGAAAAACAGAACTGAATCTTTGATCTTTTCTTGATAGTTCTTTTTCTTCTTGTAAATGGGAGAAGAAATGAAGGAGGGTAGGGGGAATTGCTAGGGTTAGAAGATTCACCAAAACTCAAAATAATGTTGTGATGTTATTGAAATTTACTTTAAAAGGACACGTTTATTAGTTATTGGTTACTTTTCTTTTTATGTTCCCTGCAAAAGATTTTTCATATTTAATTTTCCTTTTGAAATTTTGAATTTGATGTTAGGAACTTTTTTCTTTTCTTTTTCAAATATCTTTTGTAATTTGGTTGTTAATATGTCAAACATTCAGTTTTATTGCATACGCAATTTGCTTTAGCTAAATCAAGATTTGCATTTTCTTTGTTACTCAAATCTAATCAATATCTAATTGATCAAACATATCTACTATCATTCACAGGTTGTTGAAACAATGCTTGATCATGACACGATATCCTTAAAAGGGTGTCTGTGTAACTCTCTTTCTTATATCCTTAAAAGGAACTCTACATCCTTTTCTCATTGCTTTCTTTTTTTCGTGCAAGAAAGTTTATGCTTTAAAAATGGAACATATGCAGCATAGGTAGTTGTGATGTTTTGGTTTGGTTATACAATCCACTAATACCTAGTGCAAGGTTGGGACTTGGATGCTATCCACAGGGAGTTTATCCTAACTAAATTTACCGAGGAACCATAATAAACAATATGTTATAATCAAGTTTTACAAGCATTATGGAGTTGTTCTCCCTTTTCTGTCTTTCCTTATTCCCTTAATGGAAAAATTCATAAATTGATGATATCTCTTGTGTTTGGGATGCTTCAGAATCGAAAAGACCATTGATCGGTACTATAAATATGCAAAACAAGTGCACACTGGTAGGATCGATGTGCAACAATATAAGGAGGTTAGGCATTTTATCTTTATTTTTTGAATCTATGTATGTAAGATTGTCAAGGCAATGTGGCTGTCTAATTCAATCTAAAGGCGAAATTGTTATATGCATTATTTATGTTGGTTGCTTTTGTTTCATTTTGCTTTGTCCTTGACTTGTCTAATTCAATTATAAAAAATATGTGCATTTTTTTTTTAATTAGATGATGCACTTACCAAGATAAGATCAACCTTTTTGTTCACTTCAAAATAAATAATTTATATTCAGACTCAAAGATTTGTGATAATTTAATTTCTCTAGATCATAACCTCATATTGAAGTTTATCATAAGGTGCATGCATTGACATTATCACAAGATATTATACCTAATCGAGGACTTATATTATTCCAGAAAATCCCCATGCAACAAATTAGCACTAAATTACTTAAAATTTGATATAATTAACATGGGATGTGCTTAGAATTTCCTTTTCTTTGAGATTAATTCTCAACCAAATATAGCTAAGGCTTTCATGAAAGTTGTACAACAGTTTATAAATTAAAAAGGTATGTGATGCAATTTCGTCTCATCTTTGAGGAAATTAATTCCACCAACAATCTAAGTGGAGCTGTAAGAAAAATATTTCTTATCGATTCTCTTTTTTGGAAACAATATTTTTTCCCTTTGTGTGGCAGCGAACATGGATCGTTTCTGCTGGTAGATTAAAAAAATCCAGATTTTAGTATCTACTCTAAGTTAGGTGTGATTTGGTGTTGACTTGGTTTAAGAAGTGAAGATTTAGTCTTAATTGATGCAAAAGCTAGTTAAAAAATAACCCGAATAAAATATAATTTAGTCCCTCTCATTTAGAGAAATGAATTATTTAGTTTCGTTTCAAAAACTAATTATTTAGTCTCTCTCGTTGAAATTGTTGACGGATCCTTCAAATTTTCATCTAATACCTAAAATACTCTTTAAGCATATTAATTCATTTCAAAAATGGAACAAACCCACTCTTGCTCCCTTCGTTTTTATCTTTGTCGTGACAAAGATGATGCTCTCTCTCTCTCTGAATCTTTTTGTTTTTTTGTCTAATTTATTTTTAGACATGTTTAATCTTCATACTTCACTTGGACAATGGTTTGTTTTCATGATGCTCTCTCTATTTTTCTCTCTAAGTTGTTTTTAATTAGTTTACTCTTCATACCTCTTTTTCAATCACAAAATCAGAACTTCAATTGATTTTTTAAGGTTACTATGAACTTTAGGGCTATAATTCTTTCCATCGTCTCACCAATCATCTTGTTCTCATCCTTTAGGGCTTGTATTTCATCTTTTAGCTTGGTAATTTTCTTTAAAACAAGTGTTCTTATAGATTGGTTAACCTCTCCATTACATGGGCTGTTCAAACTACCATCAAGAGGTATCCCTCGGCCAAGCCAATGCCTACGTACTCCTTCAAGACAAGCATAATACAATTTGTGCTTGTTTATTTGTGACTACGAGATCTTGACAATTGCTCTCCTTGCACACCCGCAATTGATATTCAAAAATCGATCACCATTCTAACCACTTTCAATTGCACTTTGACTTGACATTATTGCAGTATATATAGAGAAAAAAGATGCAAAATTAGAGGTTGAGTTTAAGAAATAAAAAATAAGATATTAGGTTTAAGAAATAAGAATAAGAGAAGTGGGAAAAAAGAAATAACAGGAGAAGAGAAGCTGCAAAATTAAGGAAGAAAAGCAATAAAATAGAAGAGAAAGAGAGGAAGAGAAGCTCAATTTTAGGGTTTATTATTAGTTTCAGATATCACTAGAAAAGTTTTACATATCACTAGAAAGGCTATTTGAGAATGAAAGATATTCGGGTAAGTACACATCACTCTACTAAAAATAAATAGATAAAAGGAAGAAGTTATTAATGAAATTTAAAAATAGAGGATCAAATGATTAGTTTTTAAAACAAGAGATTAAATAATTTGTTTCTCTAAACAAGAAGGATTAAATTATATTATACTCAAAATATCCCACTATTTATAATATCAAGAAAAAAAAAAGGGTAGCACTATAAGTTACGATAATTGGGTATGTGATCCGTTGAATATTTTAATACTATTCACATGATAGATATGTGATAAATATCCATTAGTATCCATGGTAGTATATGATTGTTCTTGTGTGATATTTTTTATTAATTAAACTGAATAGATTCATGTTAAATTTTAATATAATTAACAACTTGATTAATATTTTCAACAGAAATGGCTAATTGAATTGTATCTTAAATTTTTGCGATTAGTTTAACTCTTTAGTATACTCTTTCTAATTTCTTTTGTTAATCACTATTTTCTTATGATATATATAATTCAACATGCAGCAATTGAGATACGAATCAACAAACTTGGCTAAGAAGATTGAGATCCTTCAAAATTTGCAACGGTGGATACATTAGTTTGATTCTTCTCCAATTTTTGCTTAGACGCTATGCCTGGTTTGTGTATCTAGTCTTATTGAACTTCTGAAATTTGTTTCTTAGGAAGCTTCAGGGGCAAGATTTAGATTCATGTTCTCCTGAAGAGCTGAATGACATTGGCAGGCAGCTTGAGATCGGTTTAAGAAATATTAAGGCAAGAAAGGTATATGTTACTTAAGAAACTTGCCAAATTAATGTAGCAGATAGAAGAATATTGGAGACTTTGATTATCTAATTTGGAGTTCTGCATTTGATCAATCCATCAAAAAGCTAATGAAATTTTACATGTATATATATTGCTTATGATTCAGGCTCAGTTATTCAAAGAGCATATAGAACAACTACAAGCAAAGGTAAATAGAGATTTTACAATACCGTAAAGATTCGAAACTAAAGATCCATTAGATATTTTATAATTTTTTTTTCATTCTCTCTATAGGAAAGGTTGTTGTTAGAAGAGAATGAAAGGTTAAATAAACAAGTAAGCATTTGTTATTTGTTTTACGACAACTAGTTCTCTATACCTAATATACACTATGAAATTATGATGTATATGGTACTGTGGTTTTGAATTGTTCTGGGTTTGATCAATCCATCGAAAAGCTAATAAAATTTTATATGTATATATATTGCTTATGATTCAGGCTCATCTATTCAAAGAGCAGATAGAACAACTACAAGCAAAGGTAAATAGAGATTTGCCATGAAGGTTCGAAACTGAAGATCCATTAGAGATATTATAATTTTTTTCCTCATTCTTATTACAGGAAAGGTTGTTCTTAGAAGAGAATACAACGTTAAACAAACAAGTAAGTATTTGTTCTTTTTTTCACGACAACTAGTTCTTTATACCGAATATTCATAATGAGGGTTCTTAATGTGGTGAAATTATGACGTATATGGTATTGTGATTTTGAAATGCAAACACCAATTAAAGAGTAGGGATGGCCACAAGCCCCAACATTTCCTCACTTTCAAAGCCGTATTGTTACATGTGATAAGTTATATCCTATAACACAAGTAGATTTAATGTAACGATTGTATACTTAAATAGTTTTTTTTTTTAAGTAAAGTAAAATTTGAGTTCAGGTGAATATTCAAATTTTTTTAATAATTATATGATGGGAGAGAGACCTATTCCGATTGTGTAGTTTAAGGTCTATGGGTTTCCTGACGAATCAAAAGTTATATGGGTTTCCTGACGAATCAAAAGTTATATTCTATAATCGAAGTCCGTATTCAAGTCCAATAAACATTCAAATAAGGATTCAAATACTTGTTTCCATCTAGTTATCTAGTAGATTTTTTATTTTTCACTAATTTTTATGTATCTAACATGGAGGTTTTATTTAGAACTAAAAGATGGGACAGCTATGGTTAAGGTTTTAATACACATACATTTTTGTGATAAATTAAATTTCATATCTCTATTGCATGCGATATGCGATTGGCAAGGACTCTTGCCTCCACCTCTAAGCAGGTTTTAGCACATGTACTCGTTTTTATCTCCATAGATGGAAAACTCCCTCCGTATTTGTTCACATCCAATGGTGCAGAACAAACCTCCACTGGGTTTGTTTTTTGACCTTCTATCCTAATTCTTTATTGCTATTTTTTGAACGTTTTATTGATATGTTTGTTTTGGTATTTGGCTTAGTGGGATGCACGGCCATTGCTGCAATCAACTCAACCGAACCAAGCTGTGACATGCATGGACACATGTAGCAAGTGGTCAGATGTCGAGACTGAACTGTTCATTGGACTACCACAAATGCGCTGCTTGTAGGTTTTGTCTAATAATTTATTAATAAATTAATAAAAAATAAATTTGAAAAGACCAAACACCCCATCATCATGATTCTAAACTTACACTTAGATTGTAATGGTGTGAGTACTCATGATTGGCGATTTGCAAAAAAATAAGCATAAACCCAAAAGGAAGTATGAGCATTAGGCTAAGAAGCAAGAAAACCACAAAACTAGTATAATAAGAAAACAAAACAAAATAATACTTCCTCACTGGTATTGGTAAGGCAAATTGCTCACCTCATGCATTAATACAAGCTCTTTTCTATAATCAAACACAATCTTATGCTCATCCTTAATTTCCTTGACCACCTTTTGAAGATTACATGTACATGAGTCGATAATTTAGTAGTAGCAACACTACTAGGTTTTGAAGACTCAACATCCATTGTTACATTAGATACATTTTCAACCTTAAAACTAACTCTCTTTTTCCTTACAATATCCTCTCTAGGACTCTTCAAAATAATGCTATCAAAACTCTAAATTATATCTAGATTCTTACCGTTCTTAATTCCTTTATCCTTAATTGGCCCTAAACTCTCACTACTACTTTTCAAGCACACTAATTTCAAAGTACCCTCTCCACACATCCTTTTCATTTTCTCATTTAAATTCATTTCTTCAGTAGCTTTCTTTTTCTCTTTATAAATCTTTTTTTTTTTTTTTTTATCAATTTTCATTGTTTCATATTCCAAAACAAGAATCCCTTCTCACCTCCTTTGAATCTAAGCTACTATTACTCGAACCATACTCGTATCTGGCATTGGGATGATAGCCTACCACTACCACCATTGTTTTTATGCATCAAACATGTTGAAATAATCCCATGTTGAAACTTTTAATGCTGATGGTGGTACCGGTGGTGGCTTTTCAAGACTTTAACAAATGCCTTTGGTATAGTGGATGTAAAGAAATCTTGGACCTGAACATATTATAGAAATTAAAACTATTTTAATCACAAAGTTAGATAAGAAAAATAGTAAAAAAAAAAAAAAAAATCCCTTCTACATGCATACCCAGGACTATCCCTCATGTCTAACTCAAGACGAGGGGAAAAAAGTATTCATCGTTAGCAAGTTAAGGTAATACATTAACCATTATTAAAACATTCAAACATTCTTAGGTTCAAACAGCTGAAAAAAGATTTGTTGTTTGTAAAACACATTGCAAGTATCCAGTCTGGCCATTTGCTTCATCTAGAACTACATTTGCTTATATTTTTTCATTTTTCTTTTTCGAACATTTTGTATATAACGTGTGGCATGACACAAATTTTATCTCATTATCTCAATACGCATCAAACTTGATACCCAATATCCATTACCTTTGATTGACCTCTGATTGCATATCATCATGCAACCCAAGGGGAAACCTTCACTAGTCACTACATACAAGAAACTATAGATACCAAAAAACATTTCTTTGAGCTCAGCTTGTCAAACTAAAAGCATATCCAAGTTTTAAAACAAGTCCAAACTAAGATTATTAGCCATATAATCATTCAACAATCTTAAACCCCATACAACTTATCCCGCAAAATGAAGAAAAGGGCTCTCTATTCTCCTACCATGTTTAAACCCTCAACACAGCCAAAACTCAAAGATTTAAACTTTAACTAAGCCCCCTCGTTCTTTTGTCTATTTCATTCTCACCCCTTCATAATCAATTCCCTACTATAACTACAAGAACCCATGTCAAAAGCAACTCAAATAATAGAAATTTAAGCAAGAATTCATTCAAAAACAAAAGTGGACATGATTGCAATTGCTAAATCTTGGCCATAGAAAATAGAAATTTGTCCCAAAAAATGAAAAAACATACAATAAAGAGATCGATATCTTTGAGATGAGTTCTTCAGAGATTCTTTTTGGGTTTAATGAGAGGCCACTTTTATGCTTCTTTTCTATGTCCCATTTTTCTCTTCTTCATCATTCAACCTGTTTTTTCTGCTTTTTCCATTAACAAACAACTCCAATTTCTTGTATTATTTTGTTTTGTGTTTCTATTTTGGGCTAATAATATAATTTTCGGACTAAATTTTGATAGAAATAGGCCTCACTTTGCATGTCCAATCAACTAGACCACAATAATTTTATCTCGTCTTTTTTTTATGACAACTCAGAATAACTTAATTTCTATTTATCCCTAATTTTCCAAAATTCAACCCATGGATCTTTCGTAGAACCATTTTATCACTAATTAACTTGTCAAATAGATTTAGGATGAAAATTGATCTTTTATAAACCCTAATTTATACCAAAATCATTGACTAAACCCATTATTTGGTATATTTACTCCTTGTAGTTTCATCGATTTGTCAAAAAAAAAAATTACTAACAATTTGATTAATTGAGTATTTATATTTTTTATTTTAATCAATTAAATTTATTTTTTAAAAAATTAAAAGGAACTGCTTAATAAGGACGATGGAATGAACGATGATATTGACCTGAATGGAATTAAAATTGATAATAACTTTATCATTTCTTTGTATAACACTTTTTAACTTTTTAGAAATAAATGCCAACGCTATGAGAAAAAAGTACAATAAAGATATGTGCAATAAAATTGATTTCAAAATAAATGCAATTAGAATTTAGGACTGGCACTGCCATTTCCTATTGACCTACTGCTTGCCCTTCCTCAACCCATCACTTATTAACCAAACTGTCGTTTAATTTTACTTCATTAAATTAGACAAAGGAAATGCATGTATGTATATCAATAAACCTTACCATTCATTAATCCTCGTGATTTATTATATCATTTTCTTATCCAACTTATTTACAACGAATGAAAATAACTATTCAATATCACGAGCATCAAACCAGGGAAACTTTGGTGACAATTCAAAGTTAGAATAAATTTGGTTTTTAAAGATTATTCAAAAAAATGTTCTTCTGACTACTCAATAAAGAGCTGTTCAATTTCATGTTTTCTTAAGCATTGTTTGAAATTTAAAGTTATTATCCAAAAAGAAAAGGCTTTAAAAACTTCGATAGCCTTGGATGTTTGGATATTAATTAAAATTTAAAGTTGCCGTTTAATTATTTAAAAAAATTAAAAATATATACAAAATGGTAGCCTTTCAACTTGATTTAAGAGAAAATTCAAATTTTAAAAAAAATATCAGAAAAATAAATTTTTAATCGAAAGCCAAAAAAAAAAATAGTTTTTTAATCGAAAAATTAAACGTTAATTTGGTTTGATTTTAATTTTTATTTTAATAAACTCGATCGATCAATATAAAGTTAGATAATTAAGATTAAGTTCCATTCAAAAGACTTAAGTCTTATGGTGGGTAACTCCTTCTCAACTTTATATATTATTTATTATCGGTTTAACTATTCGATGTAGGACATGTTCTAACACTCCTCCTCACTTGCAACTCATCTTTTCGAGTCCCGTTAGACTTCTTTGAGGCTCTAATATCATATAAAGTTAGATAGTTGAGATTGAGTTTCATTCAAAAAACTTAAGTCTTATAGTTAGTGACTCATTTTCAACTTTATATATTATTTATTATTAATTTAACTATTCAATGTGTGATATATTCTAACAAATAAAAACTTAAAAAAAAAATTGAAATCAAATGTAAAAACTGAATAATCATCCTTGCTTACGGATTAGAAAAACACAAACAGACTCACCGTACAAGAAGACCCACGTGACGCGGTCTCTCCCCATTGGTCGATGTGACTGTCTCTTAACATGTCAAAATTTTATTGGTTCTTTACGCAAGTCATAGTACGATGAGACAGACATGTTAACGTTTGCTTTCCATATTTTAAGTGCTTTTGCTTCCCAATATTCTGATCACTTAAATTTTCGTACCTTTCTTTCCTTTATCTACCTTCTTTCCTTTTTTCTTAATTTTACCAATTCAGTATATTCAACGGCAATGAAGCTTCCAAGTTTCTAATCATCTTCTTATTTAGGATTTTTTTTTTTCTAAATTGGACGTGCCTTTTCCTTTCTTTTTCGAGGGCATTGAAGATGGATGAAGAAGAGCGCTGTAGAAAAAAATAAATAGAGAATTTGTGGTCATAGAATAAAGGGATCTATCTATATATCCAATAGTCTCATCAACCCACCAATCTAAATATCCTCTGTGTTTCTTTTTGCTACGTGCATCTAACTACTCTAGGGTTTTTAACTTCTTAGATCGTTTCCCCTTGTACCATTTTTGAGAGCACATATTCTCTGTATCTCTTATTTTTTCTTTTTTTCTATATAAAAAAATTGGACTCCCTTTCATGTTTTTTCTTTTGAACCATAGAATTTCAGTCTAAATTTTGGTTTGCTTTTTAGTCTTGTTAATCATCCTAGCTTTCATTTTGTGAATATTTCAAGTTTTTTGGGTTGTTGTGAAATATTAGCATATATAGTTAAAATTTTCTTGAGCTGAGGTCAAACACAAGATTTCTGGGCTTGTGCTATATATTTGGTGAGAATAAAAGTATAGATTGACTTTTCTTTTTCCTTTCCCCTAACTCTAGGGTTTTCATTGAGAATATTTTATAACTTGGTTTAAAATTTCTATGAACTAGGAGGACATGGTGAGAGGAAAAGTTCAAATGAGAAGAATAGAGAATGCAGCCAGCAGGCAAGTGACTTTTACCTAGAGAAGAAGTGGGTTGTTGAAGAAAGCTCACGAGCTATCAATTCTATGCGATGAAGAAGTTGCAGTCATCATATTTTCACAGAAAGGAAGACTCTCTCTGAGTATGCAAGCACTGATCAGTAGGTTTCTTTTTCCTCTTCCTTCCTCTAGTTCTTTGAATTCTTGTTGATGATGCATATATAATACTTAAGATTATTAGAATTAACATATTTTTTTGCTTTTTTTGAAAAGCATAGCTGCTAATTGTTAAGAAAAATGTATGTACGATGTTGTAGGGTCCTCCTAGATATATTGAGGGAAGCGATGAGATATCATTTCATTTGTACTTATACATATAGATTTTACTTACAGTCCTTTCAGATTTGCGCATTAACGGTGATGCTTTAAATCAGATAGCCGAGGCAGTAAAAATTGTAGTCACCAATGACCATGGCCTTGGTTTTCCTTTTCTCTTCAATCTTGATGTTGTTTCAATAACACCTAGTCTCTTTAGCTCTATACTTCCCTTCTGAGCTTTGTGATCTAGGGTTGAAATTAATGCTTTCTTGAGAAATAGACAATGGCCATCTGTTTGCTTTGTGAAAAAGATGGGATGTAGCTACTGTACTTCTGGTTTTAGCCAACTGATTTAAATTCTCTATAGAACACCTAAAATGCTACTCAGTCATTTGCCATTTCTTATAAAGGTTTCATTCCTTTTCTTCTTCTTCTTCTTCCTTGGTCAGTAGTATTTTCTTTTGTTTTTCATTATTGTTTGAGTTTTAAATGGGAACCAAAATGAAGGGTGAGGGGCACTGGACTTATTTTACAATTACAGTTTCAACTCTAAGTCAAATTTTAAGACAATGGATTAATTGTATAAGTACTCTTTGTAGTTTAATTGATGGGTTCTTTGTAGTTTAATTGATGGGTTCTTTGGTTTGGTTTAGTAACATCTTTTCTCCCATTTTATCTTATGTTGTAAGTGAATTTTAATGTCTTTGTTTTGCTTTGTCCAGTGTCTAGTTTGCTCTAGCTTGTTCTATTTTTTTTTTTTTTTTTTTTTTTGAGTGGGAGGTACTACAATCCCTCAGTTAGAAGAACAGAGATCATAATCTACTTGTTTTCGCTAATTACCTTTCCTCCTAAGAACTATATATTTTAGGATATATATATATATATATATATATATATATATATCTTCTTCCTCCTTGGTCAGTGGTATTTTCTTTTGTTTTTTCATTGTTGTTTGAGTTTTAAATGGAAACCAGAATGGAGAGTGTGGAACACTGGACTTATTTTACAATTACAGCTTCAATATCTTCTTCCTCCTTGGTCAGTGGTATTTTCTTTTGTTTTTTCATTGTTGTTTGAGTTTTAAATGGAAACCAGAATGGAGAGTGTGGAACACTGGACTTATTTTACAATTACAGCTTCAACTCTAAGACAAATTTGTCTTAGAGTTGAAGCTGTAATTGTAAAATAAGTCCAGTGTTCCACACCCTCCATTTGTCTAGAGTTGAAGCTGTAATTGTGAAATAAATTCAGTGTTCCACACCCTCCATTTTGGTTCCCATTTAAAACTCAAACAACAATAAAAAAACAGAAGAAAATACTTAATTTGTCTTAAAGTTGAAGCTATAATTGTAAAATAAATTCAGTGTTCCACACCCTCCATTCTGGTTTCCATTTAAAACTCAAACAACAATGAAAAAACAAAATAAAATACTGCTGACCACCAAGGAGGAGGAGGAGGAAGATATATATATATATGTATATATATATGTATTCTTTTTTTCTTCTTTGTTTTTTTATGTGTGTGCAAGTGTGCGCTTCTAGAAAATGTTAGCTTGCACGTGTTATCACAAATGTAAGAACGAACGTTTAACCACAAGCTGCCCATTTAATTTTTGTTTAGAAAAATGTTTTAATTCCATATTTTCTTTTGAGTAATGTTAATCTTATCGAATATTCTTTTCTAAATCACTTTCTGAAAAGTCTCATGCATTGAAACAGTGGATCCTATACATCAACGATCCTAATTTTTTTTGCAAATAGTCTTTTGATAATATCAACATTAATTATGAAAACCATGAGAAAGCATAAATTCTGTTAGAGTTATTTCTCGACAAAATAAGCTATGTTCTAATATTAGAGGAGTTTTGAGAGATATTTGGAGAAAAAAGAACTGAATCTTTGATACTTTCTTGATTGTTCTTTTTCTTCTTGTAAATAGGAGAAGAAATGAAAGAGGGTTGGGGAGAATTACTAGGGTTAGTTCTTGCAAGCTATAGTTTTGTTCTTTACTTTAAAAGAACACATTCATTAGTTATTGGCTACTTTTCTTTTTATGTTCTCTACAAAAGATTTTTCATATTTAATGTTCCTTTTGGAATTGTGAATTTGATGTTAGGAACTTTTTTTCTTTTCTTTTTCAAATATCTCTTGTAATTTGGTTGTTAATATATCAAACAGTTAGTTTTATTGCATACGTAATTTGCTCTAGCTAAATCATGATTTGCATTTTCTTTGTTACTCAAATCTAATTACTATCTAATAGATCAAACATAACTACTATCATTCACAGGGTGTCTGTTGTATAACTCTCTTTCTTTTATGCCCATTGGGACTAGGCATTAATTTACATCCTTTTCCCATTGCTTTCTTTTTTTCGTGCAAAAAAGTTTATGCTTAAAAATAGAACATATGCAGCATAGGTAGTTGTGATGTTTTCTTTGGTTGTACAATCCACTAATACCTAGTGCAAGGTTGGGACTTGGATGCTATCCACAGGGAGTTTATACTAATTAAATTTAACGAGGAATCATAATAAACAATATGTTATAATCAAGTTTTACAAGCATTATGGAGTGGTTCTCCCTTTTTTTGCCTCTCCTTGTTCCCTTAATGGAAAAATTCATAAATTGATGACATCTCTTGTGTTTGGGATGCTTCAGAATCGAAAAGACCATCGATCGGTACTATAAATATGCAAAACAAGTGCAGACTGGTAGGATCGATGTGCAACAATATAGGGAGGTTAGGCATTTTATCTTTATTTTTTGAATCTGCGTATGTAAGATTGTCAAGGCAACGTGTTTGTCTAATTCAATCTAAAGGAGAAATCGTTATATACATCATTTATGTTAGTTGCTTTTGTTTCATTTTGGAATGTCCTTGACTTGTCTAATTCAATTGTAAAAAATATGTGCATTTTTTTTAATTAGATGATGCACTTACCAAGATAAGATCAACCTTTTTGTTCAGTTAAAAACAAATCATTTATATTCGGACTAAATGTTTGTGATAATTTAATTTCTCGAGACCAAAACCTCATATTGAGGTTTATCATAAGGTGCATGCATTGACATTATCACAAGATATTATACCTAATTGAGGAGTTATATTATTCAAGAAAATCGCCATGCAACAAATTGTCACTAAATTGCTTACATTTTATATAATCAACATGGGATGTGCTTAGAAGTTTGAGATTAATTCTCAACCATGTATAGCTAGGGTTTTCATGAAAAGTTATACAACGCTTTACAGATTACAAAGGCAGTTTGTGATGCAATTTCTTCTCATCTCTGAGGAAAGTAATGTTACCGACGTTCTAAGTGAAGTTGTAAGAAAAATATTTTTGACTTGTTAGGTTAGAGATTCGATTCTCATTCTTGAAAAACTTTTTTCCCCCTTTTGTGTGGCAGCGAACATGGATTGCTATTACTGGTAGATTAAAAAGTCTAGCTTCTAGAATCAACTCAAAGTTAGATGTGATTTGGTGTTGACCTAGTTTAAGAAGCGAAGATTTAGTGTTAATTGATGCAAACACTTGCTGGAAAATAAATTGAGTAAAATATAATTTAGTCCCTCTCGTTTAGAGAAACAAATTATTTAGTCTCCCCATTTCAAAAACTAACTGTTTAGTCCCTCTTGTTGAAATTGTTAACAGATCCATCGATTTTTTGTATAATACCTAAAATACCCTTTAAACATATAAATTCATTCCAAAAATGAAACAAACCCATTATTTCTCTTCATTGTTATATCTGTCGTGCAAAGATGATGCTCTCTCTCTCTCACTCTCTAAATCTTTAGTCTAATTTGTTTTTAGACAAGTTTAATCTTCATACTTCACCTAGACGATAGTTTGCTTTTTATGATGCTCTCTCTTTTTTTTTGTTTTTCTCTATAAATTGTTCTTAATTAGTTTATTCTTCATACCTCTTTTTCAATCATGAAATCAGAACTCTAATTAATTTGTTAAAGGTTAGTTTGAACTTTAGGGCAGCAATGCTTTCCCTCTTCTCACCAATCATTTTGTTCTCATCCTTTAGGGCTTGTATTTCATCTCTTAGCCTCGTAATTTCGTTTAAAACGAGTGTTCTTGTAGATTGGTTAACCTCTCCACTACTTGGACTATTCAAACTACCATTAATAGGCATCTCTTAGCCAAGCTAATGCCCACATACTCCTTTAGGACAATCATAATACAATTTATGCTTGTTTAGTTGTGACTTCGAGATCTTGACAATTACTCTCCTTCCATAACTACAATTGATATTCAAAAATCGATCATCATTCCAACCACTCTTAATCGCACTTTAACTTGATATTATTGACTACGGTATGTATAGAGAGAAGAGATGCAAAATTAAAGATTGAGTTTAAGAAATAAAAATAAGATATTGGGTTTAAGAAATAGAAATAAGAGAAGTGGGAAAAAAGAAACAAAAGGAGAAGAGAAGATGCAAAATTAAGGAAGAAAAGAAAAGCAAGAAAATAGAAGAGAGGCATAATTTTAGGGTTTGCTATTAGTTTGATATATCATTAGAAAGGCTATTTGAGAATAAAACATATTTAGGTAAGGACACGTCACTTTACTAAAAGTAAATAGATAGAAGGATGAAATTGTTAACGAAATTTAAAAATAAATGATTAAATGATTAGTTTTTGCAACAAGGAAACTAAATATATATTTTTTTCCCTAAAGAAGGATTAAATTGTATTTTATTCAAAATAACACACTTTCTATAATATCAAACTGAAAAAAGGTAGTACTACATCTTACCATAATTGGGTATGTGATCTATTGAATATTTTAGTGTTATTCACATGATAGATGATGTGATAAGTATCCATGTTAGTATATGATTTCTTTTTGTGTGATATATTTTATTAATTAAACTGAATAGATTCATGTTAAATTTCCTTTATTAATAGCTATTTTCTTATGATATTTAATTTGGCATGCAACAATTAAGATATGAATCAGCAAACTTGGCTAAGAAGATTGAGATCCTCCAAATTTTGCAACGGTGAATACATTAGTTTGATTCTCCTCTAATTTTTTGCATAGACGTTATGCCTGGTCTGTGTATTTGGTCTTATTGAACTTCTGAAATTTGTTTCTTAGGAAGCTTCAGGGGCAAGATTTAGATTCATGTTCTCCTGAATAGCGTCATGACATTGGCAGCCAGCTTGAGATCGGTTTAAGCAATATCAGGGCAAGAAAGGTATATGTTACTTAAGAAACTTGCCAAATTAATGTAGCAGATAGAACAATATTAGAGACTTGGATTGCCTAATTTGGAGTTCTGGGTTTGATCAATCCATCGAAAAGCTAATGAAATTTTAAATTTATATATATTGTTTATGATTCAGGCTCATTTATTCAAAGAGCAGATAGAACAACTACTAGCACAGGTAAATAGAGATTTTATAATGCCATGAAGATTCAAAATTGAAGATCCATTAGAGATATTATAATTTTTTTCCTCATTCTTATTACAGGGAAGGTTGTTCTTAGAACATAATACAATGTTAAACAAACAAGTAAGTATTTGTTCTTTGTTTTACGACAATTGGTTCTCTAGACCTAATATGCACAATGAGGGTTCTTAGTATTGTGAAATTATGACATATATGGTATTGTGGTTTTGAACTGTAAACACCAATTGAAGAGTAGGGATGGCCACAGGCCCCAACAAGTCACTTTTAAAGCCGCATTGTTACATGTGAAAAGTTATATCCTATAACACAAGTAGATTTAATATAATGATTGTATACTTAAATAGTTTTTTTCTAATTAAAGTAAAATTTGATTTCTAGTGAATATTCAAAATTTTTTAATAATTATATGATGGGAGAGAGGACTATTCCAATTGTGTAGTTTAAGGTCTATGGGTCTCCTGACGAATCAAAAGTTATATTCTATAATCAAAGTCCATATTCAAGTCCAATAAACATTCAAGTGAGGATTCAAATGCTTGTCTCCATTTAGTTATCTGGTAGATTTTTTATTTTTAACTAATTTTTATGCATCTAACATGGACGTTTTATTTAAAACTATAAGATGGGACAACTATGGTTAAGGTTTTAATACACATGCATAATTGTGATAAGTTAAATTTTATGTCTCTATTGCATGCGATATGTGATCGGTAGGGACTCTGTGCTTCCACCTTTGAGCAGGTTTTAGCACCTATACTCGTTTTTATCTCCATCGACGGAAAACACCCTCCATATTTTTTCACGACCAATGGTGCAAAACAAACCTCCACAGGGTTTGTTTTTTCCACCTTCTATCCCAATTCTTTATTGCTGTTTTTTGAACGTTTTATTGATATGTTTGTTTTGGTATTTGGCTTAATGGGATGCACGGCTATTGCTGCAATTAACTCAACCGAACCAAGCTGTGACATGCATGGGCACATGTAGCAAGTGGTCAGATGTGGAGACTGAACTGTTCATTGGACTGCCACAAATGCACTGCTTGTAGGTTTTGTCCAATAATTTAAATTTTTATTTCAATAATAAATTAATAAAAAAATAAATTAGAAAAGATCAAACACCTCATCCTTATCATTCTAAACTAACACTTAGATTGTAATGTTGTGAGCACCTATAATTGACGATTTGCAAAAAAATAAGTATAAACCCAAAAGAAAGTATGAGCATTTGGCGAAGAAGCAAGAAAACCACAACACTAGCATAACAAGAAAACAAAGCAAAATAGTACTTCACTGGTATTGGTAAGGCTAATTACTCACCTAATGCATTAATACAACCTCTTTTCTATAATCATAAGCAGTTTTATGCTCATCCCTAATTTCCTTGACCACCTTTTGAACATCCCTTGTACCATGAATTGATAATGTAGTAGTAGCAACACAACTAGGCTTTGAAGACTCAACATCCATTGTTACATTAGATGCATCTTTAACCTTAAAACAAACCTCCTTTTTCTCTACAGTATCCATTGCAAGACTTCAAAATAGTGCTTTCAAAACTTTAAATTATATCCAGACTCATGCTGCTCTTAATTCCTTTATGTTTAGTTGGCTCTAAACTTTCACTACTACTTTGTATTTTTCGTTATCCTTAATCAGCTTTAAACTCTCATTACTACTTTCCAAATACACTAATTTCAAAGTACCTTATTCACAATTCCTTTTCATTTTCTCATTTAAATTCTTCACTAGCTTTCTTCCAAACCACGATAGAAATATTGTCAAAAATTTTATCTTTTCTCTTTTTTTGACAACTCAGAATAATTTAATTTCTATCTTTCCTTGGTTTTCCAAAAATCCAAACCATGGATCTTTTGTAGAAAATTATTATCACTAATTGACTTGTCAAATATAGATTTAGGATAAAAATTGATCTTTTATAAACCTTAATTTATAACAAAATCATTGACTAAACCCATTATTTGGTATATTTGCTCCTTTTATTTTCATTGATTTGTCAAAAAAAACTTCTTTTATTATCAATTTGATTAATTGAGTATGTATATTTTTTATTTAGTCAATTAAATTTAATTTTTTAAAATTAAAATGAATTGCACAATAAGAATGATGGAATGAATGATGATATCGGCTCTGAATGAAACTAAAATTGATAATAATGACTTATGCAATAAAAAAATTTAATTGATTGAAACATTTTTTTAAATCTATATTTAAGTGATTAAAATTAAAAATGCATGTTATTCAATTTATAAAATTAATAAAATAGGATTTTTTATTGAATTATTTGAAACTCACAATAGAAATAGTGGATTTAGCCAAAATTATAGTTTACTCATTATGAAATTCCAAAATATTTATTTTAAAAATATCATGAAAAGAAAAACTAGATATTTTAAACAATTTTTTTTTTCAATATCATCGGTAAAATGCTGAAAATTAAATTTTGTGAAAGAATATTATTCCTTATGTCATACCGTAATTTTTGTTTTTTTTTTTTAAGTTTCTTTTAATTCTTCTTTTATTTTTATTCTTTACTCCATTTTTTTCTTTTATTAAAAACCAAAAAAATTAACAAAAAATTAAGGAAATTAGATAATCAACAAAATTTTATTTATTTGCTTGCAACACAATACAAAATTACAAAAAAAAAATGCAAAAAAAGAAAAGAAAAAGAAAAAGAAGACAGAGATGGAGGGATAAATCCCTTCCATATTTTGTGCTTTTCCTAGCTACCCTGCACAAACTCTCCAAAATCCAACAATCTCCTGTGCAATGTCTCAATTTTTGTAGCCCTTCCTATAACGGTTTGCAAGCTATGTTGGAGTCCTCTATCCTCGCTACAACCGAATAGCCACCCTACACAGACCTCTCCCTAAGTCAACCTTCGGTAACCTCACCCTACTACTATAACTCTCACAATCTTTTTAGACAACTTCCCCCATTTCTAGCAATCTACTTGTGCAATCCCTCAATTTCTGCAACTTCACAATGTTACAACTTACAATAACTGGACAACAACCATTAGCTTACAACAAAAACTATCACACTTCCTATTAATCCAACCCACACTCTATATCCCGCAAAATCTCACAATCACGGTGGAGAAACAACACACACACAAACACATAATTCACCAAAAAAAAAAAAACGAGAGAGATTCAGTCAAAAAATGAAAAGGAATCAACAAAACAAAGGAAGATAAGAATCAACAACGACAAACACAAGGGAGGGGGATTTAATCCGAAAAGAAAGAAAATCGAGTTCAAAAAAATTGAAAAGAAAAATGTAAAAAAATAAAATCATAGAAAAATTTGTGATAGTTTATTGGAATTAAGAGAACATTTAAGTTAAAAGGAAATAGAAATAGGGAAGAAAGAATAAAAAATAGGGTAATAAAAAAAAAAGGAAAAAGGGAAATTTTGAACAAAAAATAATAAAATGTTTGATGAGAATTTAAATTTTATGCATGTTTATCATTTAGTATTTTGATTTAGATGTTTAATTTTCTTGAATCATTTTAATTAATATAGTTTTAATCTTAAATTTATTAAATTTTTGTTAGTTTGTATTTAATTTAGAACCTAATGTTTAAATTTTATGTAACTACTTTAATTAATGTTATTTTAATCTTTATTTATTTTATGCATGTTTTGTTATTAATTTAGATTTCAATAGTTGAATTTTCTTTAATTTACTTTTTTAGTAATTAGATATGGTAATTGATACGTAGAGGATTATGAAGTCTTCTAATTCTTTAGGGACCGACGACAATCTTCCATCAAAAAGAAAAAAAACAAAATAAATCATAAAACCTTTAACAAAGTCTATTATCCGATAAGGACTATTGTTTAGCCAAAAAAATATTTCTTTTAGTAATTTAGATCGTTTTACGATACATCGGTTGTGTCGAGACTCAAAAAGTGGATCCGATGTTTAAACGGATGTGTCTTTCGACGAAGGGATCCGACAATCGTTTTATTACAATGTCGGGCTCAAAACTAAAATAACTTAATTTAGCTTGGAAAATTAGAGTTTTGAATCGAAAAATAATTTAGCGTAAATAAAAAATTTTAGGAGATAAATTTTTGAACTAAACCGGACATGGCACCTTTATTTGGAAAGGATGTTTTTTGGATGATTAAATTTCTTCTTAAAAGCATAACCATTTCCTTACTACGGAATCTCCGAACTAATATCCTTTTTAAGTTTTTAGTTCTTTCAATACTTGATGGTGACTCCAAACATGTAAATTATGTTATAAATAAATAAAATCTTAAATTAGATGTTTTTTAGAATCCCATCCGATGTCGAGTAGCGACGAATGACGATTCCACTAGGGCTTTAAAGTTAGACCATAGGTTTAGTTTGTTAAGTTTGTCTTTTATATTTACTTTTGTCAATTATTTTCCAAGTAATTTATTTTTCTTGTCATTTAATTTGAGTTATTTATTTGTATATATTTTTAAATCTTTTAATTTTGTGTAATTTATTTTTCTTGCATTCATGTACATATTTAATTTTAAACTAGATGGGATGCTTTCTTTGAACTATTGCACACACCACTAGGAAACCAAGAAAAGCTCTAGACCCAAGCTAAACCCCGTTATAATTTAGATAGAGAGATACGAGGGCATGTACGATGAAAGTCCACCGATACTCTTTCGCATTCTTATTTAGATTGGAACTTGTCTTATGTATTGGAAATGATGGAATAATCTTTCCTTATCTCCTCATGCGAAGGCTAGAGGCTGAATTATCTCACTCGGTAATTTATAAAGTTAAGAAACTTGAAAAGACTTCAAGATTAAATAAGTTTTGCCTAAACCTAAGAAAAGCTAGGTCTTGTCCACTAGGGTTAACCCGATAAGACACGAATCATTTTCAAATGATGTCCGTTCTAACCCTCTTTTTGTAGGATATCATCAAAACAAATCATGACGAGAGAATTCTATCGAGGATTTTAGGGCTAGATCGAAGGAGTTCGAGTTGGAAGGGGAGGTTGTCTACCCTAGATCTTATGTAAAAAAAAATCAAAAGAAAAAGAATGGATCCTCAAGCAATAAAATACCCTCATCATTAAGGGTATGAAATTGTGAAATGTAAAATATGAATGTATTTGTATTGTAAACATTGTAATGTAAGTAGTTGTTACTAGTAATTATTGAATATAGTTACACTATTTTTATTCTTCAATGAAAAATGACTCTAAGTCACTTTTAAAATGTGTTAGAAGTTTAAATTTTAATTTCTTCTATGTATGATGTCACAAGATACACTCATCACTAAGGTTCTTAAAAAAAATTCCTGTTAAAAATAAATTTGATTTAGGGTAGATATGTTTCTCGAATCACCTCGGATATCCGTAGGATTAAAATCTAATATGATCCGTCCTCAATACAAACTCTATCTTAATTTGAAGTGTACAACGACAAAGTAAAATGTCCAATACGGTTCACATCATGCATGTATATATTGTATATTTTCAATACATATTTGTTTTGAGTTTGTTTATAGGATCTAAAATATAAACCCCCTACCAAAACTCAACTCCTCTTGAATTCGTCACACTTAGCTTCGATGAGGCTAGATGGAAATTGAAGAGAGCACGGTGGGAACATATCCATGAAAAAAATTAATTAACCCTATGAAGGGAAAATTGCCATGTTTTCTAACTTCCGAAAAAGCACTCGCTCATATTACTAAGTGCTTGGAGCATATCAAGCCAAGGGCAAGCTCGGCTTTGAATTATCGTTCACCCTTCCATTGTAAACTTGCACTCTGTGTCATCTAATGTTTCACTCACAAATCCAGAAGTAACCATTTTCTGCTAAAGTATCATTTCGACTGGGTCATTCTTATATATAATAGGCTCACAAATTCCTCTAAGTGTAAGCTACACTTGTTGCATACATCACTATTAGATAAGTCTACGGGACTAAGGTAGTGGAAGAGCCTAATTCAAACAAGTTGTTAACAATCAAAAACTATCTCGAGGCTACTAAATGCACTAATATGTATGAGTCAACTGCGAGTTGCTAGAGTAGACACAATGTCAAATGTGAGAATTCCTATAAAATTCAAAGTTCTAGAATTCATCAAGTATGTGGCTCCTAATGTCCAATGACTTATTGGCGAGTAAGATGGTCGAATTTTGAGAATCTACTCATTTTTGTTTTGCAAGAGCTCATATGGATCTATGTTGAACTATTATATAAGATCGGATGATGCCAAGATCGGAAAATAGAGAGATCAAACCTATGCTTTCATCCAATAGAACAAATTTAATAGAGGGGTTGCTTAAAGTCGGTTAAACTTACAAAGTAATGAAAATTATGAAGGTTTTCAATGGTTCTAAGAAGAAAGGAAGCAAGGTATTAAGAGAAGAAATGATGAAGTATACCAAGTTAGGACTAAATCCTCTTGGTCTAGAAATTGATGGAGTAATCAAGAAATACATAAAAATCCCAACAAACATATAAAACCCAAATCTATCCAATACACCTCTAACC